CTACTGAAGGCACAACAACACGGCCCTCGGCCACTCGAGGCCACGCGATAGGCGTTGGCGACGGCTGAGGCCAACTCATCCACCAAACTCCAATTTTTCTCGACAAACGGAACTTAATGAACCTAATCTTAGCTAAACTGAACATATAAACATCAACGGTTTGGGAGTTGTCGGGAAAATCAAAAATCGTTCGGTGAACATCTTACTTAAGCATCTACGGCTATAAACATGTTTTTTCTTGAAATTCTCGAAAGTAAACCGAACATATAACCTTAACCTGATCTCATTAGCTAGATTACTAGGTAAGGAAGAGGTTACCTCTTAGCTCGTCCGATCGAAATGGCAAAACAGAGCGCAATTCCTTGTCCTTGCTTGCCGTGCGTATATATTATTCTTTGCCTTGTGATTTTTGGAAAATTTGAGGGAAATTGGTGAACTTAATGACTACTGAAAGGGGGGTGATATAGAGCTGGTTGCTTAGAGGAAGTAATAAGCTATTATGCCTTAGAGAAAATTGGGGAAAAATCCGCACAATCCCCTCCTCTTTATACTAGTGCGACGGACGGAGTGATGATGCATGAGAGATGTGGCTGTTTATACTCTTGCCATTTGCTATCAATTGAGAAGGCTTATAGATGACTAAGCACCTTATTAACTTGACAAGTGACTAACTTTGATTGGAGGAAATTTATTTCCTTTGTCTTAAGGATGCTCACGAAATTAGCTTAAATTTTGGGAAAATATGCCTAACACTCCACGGCATTTAAGGCTTAAATATGTGATTAATTCAATAATTAATCACTACTTATCTTTAATCATTTAATTAAACATAATGCTTAATTACTAAAATTATTCCGGACGTAAACGGTACGTCGAAAATAATTTTCGGTAATCTTGACTGAACTTAATTAATTCCGAAAATAATAAACGATAACATTACTATATCGTAATTAAACTAATTTATACCGATTAAAATATCGGGATATTACACGAGAAAAATAAGAGTAAATAGGGGCAAAAACGAAAAAATAATCAACGTCTCCGGAAAGGCTTG